GTTTTTTATTTTTGTTTTTTTATCAAATAAATAAATAGATCACGACGTTTTACTTTGACTGGCGGTAATAAATTTCTAATATATCCTCTTTTTAACATCGACGGTTGTTAATACAAAACGGTGTTGATATGTGTTCATCTTACCGTTATAAGCGTAACGTTCCCTAGAATTCTGGGTTTATTCTATTTTATTTTATCACCGTCTTGTCAACTCGACCAGTTAATCCGACGACGTTGCTCATCGTAACTTGATGGGAAAACGAAATAATAAATAATTAGTTTTTATAAAAAAAATAATAATAAAAAGACAAAGACAAAGAGAGGAGTTAATGGGCTTAAAAAGTAGGGCCTAATATCTAATGGCCTGTATAGAAAGTTTGTCTGTGTCCTTTCCAAAAGAGACAAATCTCTGCCCCCTTCTATTTTGGCTCCAACCTGATTAGTCAACGCTTCTTCTTGTATTTGTCTTGTGGCCTTTCTCTCTTTCATCTTCATATTCACTCACTCACCTTGTAGAAGACCTTCTGCTTCAGGGTCCCCACGCTTTGTGTCATTTACCTTTGTTTTGCCCATCTTTCTCACTTTACCCTTATTTCCCTCTAGTTACTATAAACCAAAGATGTTTTTTTTTTCTTACATCGTTGTTGATTTCACATTCCTAAGTCCAAACTAATTTTCAGGATATGTAACATTTTTGGATATCCTTAAAATTTCAATTGGTTACAGTTGCTAATCATAAATAAAATCGTAGTAGAAATGCTCGAATTTAGATCCATGATTAGAACAAATCATCAATCATTAGTCTACTCAAAACTATATTTTTGTTGAGAATGAAACTTCCACAGACGGTAATGTTAGTCTTTTAAAAAAACCTAAAGATCTATGAATCAATCATGTTTATTTTGTTGACTATTGTCCCTAAATTTCGCAAATAAATTTCAGCTACATAATGTTAATCGTTAATCTGATTTTTAAAAAGAAAAACAGTAAAAAAATTCATAATTTGAAGTAATATGTTGAAAGATATCGATGAATCAATAAATACGAAACAACAAAAAATAGCACTAAATATGTTGATCACTATTACTGATACCAACAACAGCCAAACAAAGACGATCATAAACTGTGTTTTCTTTCTTTGGCAATTAACCGCATGATAATATAGTAACGTACCTAAGCCTTTACTTAGTCAGAATAAGTCATTGTATAATTTGAAACTTTTTTATACAAAATCGATTATATATAGCTACCAGAACCAAAACTGACTATATCAATGTTCTAACAAAACTAACAATATTTGTGAATTGTTGGTTTCCGGTTATACAAGCACTAAGGTTTTGGCGAATATATCATCATCCCGCTGACAATAATCTATTTTACTAAATATCAGGAGCTTTACCAACAAAGGGACTTTTAATTTTAAGATATATGTACACTTGGGTTGACATAGACACAATTGGGGACCAATGTTCTATATATATGCGGTATGTTGGTATAAAGGTCCCTTCGTAATGGCAGCGAATATCTCATTTTAATAGTGTTGTGTGTTCTCTTTTGGATTTGATCTTATAATATGCACTAGATTTAAGAAGTAAACGCTATACAGACCTAAAAAAAGATAAATAATATGTTTTCACGTGTCTGTATTTGGTTAACACTATTAACCGGTTCAAGTGGATTGCACGGTTTATACGACCGGAGCAACCGGTACAGTCTGAAACAAGCGAGATGTCAATCTTGGATGAAAAAGAGAAGCATATTTTCTGTGATTCGTTCTGAAAATGCCCAAACTCAATGAACTTTGGGGAATAAAGTTTTATGCTCTCTTCATCAGAAAAGGAGCTTTTTTCAGTAATTGGGAAAATTTATTTGGTAGAGAGGAATCTTATAACTTTGGGTATTTTCTGATATATATTATGATATACATATAAGAAAATAATATAACGACACTGCAAAGGTGGGGCATTTATCTCAGATCCTTAACATTTCATGTTTTATGTGTGAATGAACTTTAGACTAACTTCTAGATGGACATTAATAAATTTGTGAAGATAAAATATACAAAAAGGAAACGCGATTAGGTAGAAGAACTGTAGAGGCTTGGTTCATAGGTTTGATTTTCGCAAGAATTTTGGAGTTGCACTTTTGATGGTACAATTTGCATCATATGTTTCTTTAAGTTTGTCTTAAACAATTTGAGTGAAGAATAACTTTGAAACTGTGGGAGTCCAATTCATATAGTTATCATAGAATAAAAAAATCGAAACAGATTTAAACCAGAAACTCTGTATACGGATGCACCAATTGCATGCCAAAATAAATGGTTTTATATCTTAATACATATTCTCATCCTTCTAGAGTATATATATATACACACTTTACTAACAAATAGTAGTTTTAATTTGGCATAAGAACAATATTTTGAGCGTCAGCATCTTAAAAAAAAAGGAGATGATTAATTAATAAGTCACGAACGGTGAAGTGCATTCAATTGTTTGTATTTTTTTTATAATTGTTACTGTACTCTAAAACCTAGTAAACGTTTTTAAGAATACACGTCTAAAAAACGAGACGTTATTTATTTGGGCTCAGCTTGTTTCGGATACTATAACTGAACGAACTAATCATATTATTTATCTAGGGATAAACGTTTGAATAAATCTCAAAAGGTAAATATTAAAGGAAAAAAATAGAGAGCGGTGATAATATAAGATATATAGGTCATAGTCTTGTCAATATGTTAATAATTAACGGACAAGGCTACAAAAGTAGTAGTAGAAGTAGAAGAAGGAGATGATGATAACGAAGACAAAGTTGTGTCATAAGTGTCTTACACTATCTGTCTTGGAAACTGGGGATTGCCATTAGGCCCTTTTGAGCTTTTTCTTCAGTCACTACCGAATCCTCTGTCTCTGTTGGCAGCTTTAATCCCAAATCTATTCAACTCATGCAATGATCTTGGACGTAGAAACTTCTCCATTTCAAATGACCCTTACATCACCTTTTACTTTTTGTTCCATCGCACGGCTGATATAGTGATATTAACATTATACTATTATAGTATACATTATGAAAATCAGTCTTTTATTATTTTTCCTCCAGTTTTTGTAAAATAGCAAGTCTTTTTTAATGTAGGGAATTACATGAATTTTCTTGACAACGTTGAGATATAAAAGAAAAGAAAAATGGAAATTCTGATTTGATATAAAAAATAAATAAAATAACTTGGAATGATTAATCTCCCCTACTCCCAGTGTCGGACCAATCAATCTGGATGTCTGCGTCTAACTTTTTAAAATATGTTTTTTTATATATTTTTTTCAAAATAAAAACAATAAAAATGAAACAAAAATTTCATAAAACAATCAAACTCCATAAACAATCTATAAAAAAAGAAAAAAAATCCAATAAAATATATAATTTTTTTGCTAAAATATAGATTTTCTTGCATTAAATTGTCTCAGTTGATAATAAATCTAACCCATTTTGTTGTTTCAGTGACAAAGATAACTAAAGATACCCAGCTAAAACGAACTGAGGAATGTAACGGACCATAGGTGGACGTAGATTCACTTGGGGGGTGTGAAGGGCGAAACCCCCACGGTACGGTTTTCTTATTGGGCTAGATTTAGATTTTCTTTAACTAGTGGGTTTGAGAGTCGGATTTTTGGGTTATAAATACAATACATCTTATAGATCAAAAGTTTGTTTATAATGGGACATAAATAAAAAATATGCCCATTTATAGTGGATGCCGCAATATGCCCATTTTAGAGTGGATGCCTGCGATGGTCGTCTCCCTCGCCTGCCCTCAAAACCGGGTCTGCCCACTCCCCCCTTTTGAATTACAATCCTATGGATGGTTTCATGATGTATCAATCAGATATGTTTTAATTCATTTGCAGCTAGTATTGGCATTTAACCACGTAGTATGCGATATAGTAGCGCGTTCTAATGGTAGAAGGTTTTGGTATAGATTTATAGCCCAAACAAAACATGTTTAATAAATACAAACCCGTTTATGATATATAAGTTTAACGAACCTAAACGGGGTTTGACGCAGTTAAACGGATAACCTCCTCCACTCTTGGATTTTGGGCCTTGAGTCCGATCGGCGATCCACATTCACATTTCTGATTTGAATGACTGAATCCACGAGCCCAATACCATTACCAACCCATTAATTAGAACAAGCTTTACACATGGCTTGCATCAGTGTAGCCAGGTGCATCAGGATACATAATTTCTTTCCAGTTTTCTCCGATTCGAAATATTAAATTGAACCCACGATGAAAAGTTTTAATCTTCTTGACCTAGTCAAAATAACTTATCTAACAGGAAACAAAATTGTCAAATAATCTAGCCGCCAATGTGACAAAAGAGCACTTACTCGAAGACGAACCACTCGCTAAAGTTACATTAGACTTAGGTAGAGAGGCAGCCTGACAGAGAAAGACACGTGGTGGAGAAACCAGCTATGACTGGGTCAACATCTTATCTTCTCTCTCAATTAGCTGCTTGAATTTTCATGTTTTCTACTAGAAGACGTTGTGTGTTCAATTTGTGGGTTAAAATACATTGTACGATGAAAAGTAAAAGACTAACTCACCATCATTTCATTATAAATAGAGATTAATCTTTGGCTTATTTCCTCACACTAAATACAAAACATTCATATATTAGAAAAACGAGGCAATATAATCATGGCTAAGTCTACTACCATCATCACCATTCTCTTTGCTGCTCTTGTTTTCTTTGCTGCTTTTGGTAAGTATGCATGGCAAAATGAAATGTTTTTTTTTTTTTAAAATTATTAATTAGTAAGTAACCTTGAGATATATCTATTTGCAGAAGCACCAACAATGGTGGAAGCGAAGTTGTGTGAGAGGCCAAGTGGGACATGGTCTGGTGTTTGTGGAAACAATAAGGCGTGTAAAAACCAATGCATTCGTCTTGAGGGAGCACGACATGGATCTTGCAACTATGTCTTCCCTGCTCACAAGTGCATCTGCTACTTCCCATGTTAATTAATCTACCAAACATATAATATATGGTGTTTGTGTGTGTATTTCCATAAAATAAGTCTCGTGTCATTCTATGAGAGTGACCTTATGACATGTACCATATACGCTTATGTTGGTTTGTTAAAATAATATAAGTTCTGTGTTTCTTCTTGTCCATATTTGTCTTAAAACCAAAAAAAATATTTGTCTTCAACATTATGACACGGAGATTTTTGATATTATTCAAATTCGTCAATTAACCTTGTCGATTTTGGTTTTTGTTTTTTTTTTCTCTCAATATCTCTGGATGGTTTAGAAAATTTCAATTCGTCCATTCTAATGTTCCTATTAAGGCATCAGTCCCATTAAGTATATCATAAAATATCCGATCAGAATCATGAAAACAACCACAAGTTAATCATCCAGAGATAAAAAAACAATCCATGTGGGGGCAATGCCCGATTCTTGGCATGTGTAGAGAGTGCAAATGCATCGGTGTCTCTAGGTATATCGAAACATTGTAGTATATTCACTTAACGTTGACCTAATACAGACCCGATAAAGACCCATCTCGGAATCAATATCCACTTACGTATTTGAAATATTGAATCAGCGAGCCCAATATCAACCCATCAACCTATAAAGACCCAAACCCAACCGGTAATATATGGTGCCATATGGGTTGACTAATATGCTATCGTGTCATGGACATTTTTACTAATGCGGTTGCAGAAAGAGAGTCAAGTGGACATACTAATGCGTTGAGTAAAGCCATCCATTTTTTTTTTTTTTTCCAAAGATTGTTATCTCATATCTATACATGAATATTTATGAAAATTTTGTAGGAATTGTAGTCGTTCGTTTTTAAAAGGGGTCGGACTTCTTCAATCTTTTCATATACTCCTTTTTTTTATCACCACACTTCTTCCACATATATAATTTATTTCAGGTCGGACTTCTTCAATCTTTCCATATGTAGCTTTTATCACCATACTTCTTCCATAAATTAATTTTAATTTCACAAATCTTTGTCCATTTAATGTCTGACAGTGACACTATAAGAGAACAAAATGTTTGGGATGAAGCAAGAACATATATAGTTATGAATAAAAAAAGAATAATTTAAAAGATGTAAATCTCGAATTGACAATGGAACGAGCTATATAGAAGGTCTGCATTGGTGTCGCCAGATGCATCATGCATCATGCATGGTTCATTCTTTCATGTCCAGATGCTCCTTCCAAATTATTATTCCCGAACCGTTTAATCTTTCTTGACCAAGTCAAATTAACCAGACGTCCATGGGAACAATCTAACAACACTCGATCGACTGACTCAAGCTCAGCCGCTTAGGTTACATTAGATATAGACATATAGTGGCAGCCAGATAGATGTAGCTGCGAAACCAGCCATCAATTACAAGGAGCTAGTCAAACAAAAATATCTTTAACATTTGAAGATATTTTCCAAACATCTTAATATATATCTTCACAATTCTTACATTTAAGGCCCTAAAAAAAGAAAGAAAGTCAAACACATGTATCGTACGATAAAAATTAAAAGATTAAGGATCAATTTGCCCAATAACCAAAAACCAACTCAAAATAAAGAATATAGTCACTAGGAATTAATTATAACTATAAGCAAACAAGCATCGAGCGTTGATGTGTAGTCTCAAAACTCCCTCACACAAGTTTCGCATTATCTTCTATGTGTCATTACTATTTTGATACACAAGTTTCGCACTATTTTCTGTGTCATGTACTATTTTGATAAATAGACCCTATTTTCATATTGTTTTTCATTTAATATTTTAATATAAATTATTTAAATCTCATGATTTTACTAAAATACGCATTTTCAGCATTCGAAATACATTGAATTTTTAAAATTGGATATAGATATTTTTATTAGTGAAGTCTATTTGTAACTAAGAGATAATGTAATTATATCGAATTACAAATAATCAAAATATTGTATCATACTATTAAATCATACGTAAGTTAACTATAAAACTAAAAATATTAAACTCTAAATACAAAATCTAAACAGAAGTTTTCCAAACAGTATATATTCAAAAATTAAAATAATGTATTCTTTTAAAAAAATAGCATAAAATGTTGTTATATCCGATGCTGTTTATCTAAAAAAAATAGTATTGCATCCTTAATTATAATAGTTATCCATTTTTAAAATAATTCATACATAAACGAATTTCAAATATAAAATACTAAACCCTAAATCCAAAGCTCAAACTCAAAAAAAAATGAGAGCTTCAAATCCTATAAACAAACTTAAAACTTGAAATGGTGTTTAAGCTATAACAATAGATTAGAAGCTGCTGTGTTTTATAAAGAATTTGAAAATGATGTATTTTCTTAATTTTGAAAGAAATACTATATATTTTTGTGGTCTACATAATTACTGTACTTTCAAAATGATGTATTATAAGTAAATTCAAAACTTGAAAATGATGTATTTTTGTAATTTTGAAAGAATAATTATATTTTGTAGTTGCATTTTAAACTAAATAGAATAGAATAGAATAGAATGTGATTATGTTATATTTTGTACGATGAGTTCTTAATTATAATTGTTTATCCAATTTTGAGAAATTTGTGTTTTGTAGAAATTCTTTATTTTGCATGTTTTTTCTAGTTAGAATATTAACTTGAATCAATATTATTGAAGAAAACTAAATCAAATAAAACAAGATGGGAAAAATTAAAGGAAAAAAAAAACGAAAGAAAAGACCGAGTAAAAGTATGATGCATATAGCGTGTGAGGGTTACTTAATTAATATTTTTAGGAATTTTGGTAATTCATTATAATTTCCCAAAGATTAAACCCCCATCATTTCACTATATATAGAGACCGATATTATGCTTATTTCCTCACACCTCACATACATATATACATACATTCAAAAGAAAAAGTAGTAGTTATGGCTAAGTTTGCTTCCATTATCACCCTTCTCTTGGCTGTCCTTGTTTTCTCTGCTGTTTTTGGTTAGTAATGATCTTATCGACAAAATGAGTTATCAATTTTCTCTTTTCAGGTTTTTTTTAATGAGTAGTAATTAACTGTGTGAGATATATGTATATGCAGAAGGACCAGCAATGGTAGAAGCTCAGACGTTGTGCGAGAAGCCAAGTGGGACATGGTCAGGAGTCTGTGGAAACAACGATGCGTGCAAGAATCAGTGCATTAACCTTGAGGGTGCAAAACATGGATCTTGCAACTATGTCTTCCCATATCATAGATGTGTCTGTTACGTCCCATGTTAATCTACCAAAGGCTCTTTGCTGCTTGCATGTCTATTGTCTAAAATACAAAAAAATAAGTCTGTGTCACTCTAGTGATATGACATGTATGTTTGTGTTTCAATGTTTCGTTTGGTTAATAATAATAATAATAATATAAACTATCATATAGACGTATCAGAGCCGCCTTTTAGGTGCAATTGGAGCAATTGAATAAGGCTCAATTTTTTTTTTTTAAAACAAAACTTAATTTTCATTTAAATTATGCATATAGATATGGACTTTTATTTTTGAAAAAATATATTTTGAAAAGCCAAGCATACGTTTCTATAAATTTTGCACAAAGCCTACAAACAGTGATTTCCAATTTCTTTTCATGACATGCAAAGGTTAAAATATGGTAAATAAACAGAATAACAGATAATACCCCGGGAAAAATTTTTAATTTTGTTTTGACACCTTGAAAAATGATCATTAACACATTAATATCATAACAAAAAAAATTTTGGTGACAAAAAAAAAATCAGAACAAAAAAAAATTCTATGATACGATCACTAACGTTCGAAAAGTTAAAATGAGAGGAATGCATACAAAGGATGAAACATAGGAAGGGTTTCATCCTTCAATCTATAATCTCCTTCTTTAACTATGTTTGTGTATTATGCAGAATATTTAAATCTAAATAAAAAAATGTACATGGCCTTTCCCCTTTTTGCACTTGTAGTCGTCCCCGCCGTATGTGGAAAAAATTGAGAAGGTTTGATCTACGATGAATTTGGAAAATATCAAAATATAAATAGCAAAGAAAAAACCTTTTAATCTCGTCTATTCTTTTGATACCTCGTGTTCCTCGTATCACAATATTTTTGACAAATGACAAGATCACCAGTGTAATTAAAATTCTCTGAGATTGACTTCACTATAAATCTTGGAATTATGAATCCGATATGCTGAATCATCAATACAAATTAAGTTCTTAAGAAGTAATTAATTTTTTGATTTCTTAACATTTGTTCTTCATATCAAAATTTTCTAGCAACGAAATACTAAACCGTGAAGTTAGTTGGCAAACCCTAATTGAAATGACATGAATTTTAAGTTGTGTGAACATGTTAAAAAAAAAAACCTAATGTGAAATGAATAGATTACCGAAAAAACCAATGATAGAGAAAAGTGGAAAACGTTCAAAAAGGTTTTGATAGAAAAAGTCTTATTAAATGTCAATATATTGGAAAGGAACACGGACATAGATAATCTCTCCAATTTATTAAGCTCATGTCGTGGGTATTGATTCGTCTATGCTATTATTAAAATCAAAAAGCAAGCATCAGTTAGTATATGTTTACTATCACCATTTAACACAATCGATAAAAAATACTAAGTATAAAATTAAAAATAAAGAAATGTGAAATAAACTTGAGAAAATAGAGCAAAGTGTTAGAGAAAAGCAAGAAGTGCTGACTAAAAAGATTTTAGATAATTGCAGAGGAAGAACTGAAATCGTGGTTAAAGAACAACGAATGTAGTGTAGAAATCGTGGGTCGGGACAACGTTGGCGACTATCGGAAAAAAAAAAAATAGTAGATAGGGTTTTAATAATTTGACATCAGTTATTATAACCGTAACAAATATTAGCATCGATTAAATTAACTGATGTAAGTATTAACATCATTTCTTGTAAATGATACATAGTAACATTTAGAATCGATGTAAAATTTTCTATAATTGATGCAAACTATTTGCATCACCACTTCCAGAATCACTTATTTAAATGATGTAAAATTCTTTTACATCACTTAAAATTGATGTAAATATAAAAAATAAGTGATGTAAAACACTCTTTTTTTGTAGTGTAACAATAATTTGAGTCTATCTATATGTATACATTAACCAAGACACTAAGAGCATCTCCAATGTATTTTTCTATTTTTGCTTCTAAAATGGAGGAACTTCAAAATGCAGTTGGATTTCTCTCCAATGTATTCCTCCATTTTCAACTCCAAAAGAATATTATAAGAATATTCTTTCTTTTTGTTTTATTGTTAATTACTAATAATGCACTCTATTTATAAAAATTATAAATAAATTCATTTTTTCTGTTAAAACTTTCATAAATTATAATATTATTTTTAATTCAACCACTATAATATAAAAATAACATTACACACAATTTTTAATTCAAAACTTTTTTGTTCCAAGACTTGAACTCGATACAAGATCCGAATCTTCGTGCTTATGTTCAGAGTGAACAAACACGAATTTTACAGAAAATGGCTGAACAATAGCAATATCAACAAAATCTACCACAATCTGATTCGTTTGGACAATATTTCAATGATCTTGGTGGATTTGGAAGCCGTTTACCGGATTTTTATTAATCAGTTGTTGTATTAAATTTATTTATGTTATTTCTAATTTCAGTACTTCTTATGTATTTTTAATTTTATGTTATTTCTAATTTTATTTAATCTTATTATATTTTCTATTTTCTATTCTAAAATTTTAAATTTATCTATCTTTTATTTTAAATTAAATATACATAAAATAAAGGATTAAATTATAAATTAAAAATATAGTTTTAAGAATTAATGAAAAGTGAAAGACTATTGTGTAAATAAAAAAATTCACCTGCAAAATGGAGTTGAAAATGGAGTTACTCCATATTTGGAGGAAAAAATAGCATTTCTTCATTTTGGAGGTGAAAATGGAGTAGAGTTCGAGAAGATTTTTCCCCAAAATAGCATTTAGAGGAAGAAATAGGGTAGAGTTGGAAATACCCTAAATTAGAAATTAGGATCTCCTAAATTTTATTTTTGATGCCTTTTCTAATACACTATCAACACGGCCAACGAAAACTATGGAATTGGCCGGTTAGTTAACAAAAAAAAAATATATTTTTAAAAACTCATAATTTACAAGTTTTGGATCGTTGCTTAAAGGCAAGAAGTCATTCTGGACTGTTTCTATCTCGCCTTTCTTACCTGCGGGTTGGGGCCTGGAGGCACATTCAAAGATAATTAGATTTTCTACTGCTAAGCAAATCAGATAACAAGGCTGTCTATATTTGTTTTGGCGGAGAAGATGTTGCTTAGGAGCTTGTTTAGTTGTGTAGGAGACAGAGGTGGAGCGGCGTGAAGCCGCGAGTTACGGTCCCTCCAAATCATGTAAGTAGCAGCGTTAGATACTAACTTTTGCATAACAAGCAAGTCGGTCCAGTTTGTAAAGGGAGTACTATGGATCGTAAGTCTTGTAAGAACACGAGTCCAGAGGTGCTGATGCTACAAAAAATCAGCAGGTGGATTTTTATACCCGTTTTCACTTCCCTAGAATCAGGAACCCAATACCAACCTATCAATCCGAAGAACCAGATCCGACCCGGTGATGAAGATCTTATCTTCTTTAGTCTTGACCAAGTCAAATTAATCAGCACTAGCTCAGCCAAACCACTAGCTTAGGTTAAAATTAGTCAGATCATGAAATCGTCCATAGGTATAGATAGTTGGTGGAGGAACCAGCCAATCAGCCATAAGCTATTATTAACTACTTGCGACTTAGATACAAGATGACATACTCACCGTTACACTATAAATAAAGTTTGATCTTAAGCTTATTTCCTCATACATAACACATACATACATTGCAAACAAAGCAATAAATAATCATGGCTAAGTTTGCTACCATCATCACGCTTCTCTTCGCTGCTCTTGTTCTCTTTGCTGCTTTTGGTGAGTAATGATTTTATCATATGCATGGCAAAATCATGTGTTTACAATTTTCCTTTTTCTTTTCTGATACTTAATTAAGAGACAAATATTTATATATACAGAAGCACCAACAATGGTGGGAGCACAGAAGCTGTGCACAAGGCATAGTGGGACATGGTCGGGAGTTTGTGGAAACAACGATGCATGCAAGAATCAGTGCATTCGACTTGAGGGAGCACGACACGGATCTTGCAACTACGTCTTCCCATATCATAGATGTGTCTGTTACTTCCCTTGTTAATCTACCAAAGGCTCTTTGCTGCTTGCATGTCTACTATACAAAAAAATAAGTCTGTCACTAGAGTGTGATATGACATGTATGTTAGTTTGTGTTTCAATGTTTGGTTTGGTTAATAATAATAATAATAATATAAACTATTATATAGACGTCTATCAGAGTCGCCTTTTTAGGTGCAATTGGAGCAATTAATTAAGACTGAAAAAAACAAAAACAAAAACTTAATTTTAATTTGGACTTTTAATTTTTAATTTTTAACAAAATATATTTTGAAATGTCAAGTATACGTTTCTATAAATTTTGCACAAAGCCTACAAACAGTGATTTCCAATTTCTTTTCATGACATGCAAAGGTTAAAATATGGTAAACAAACAGATGATACCGCGGGAAAAAATTGTAATTTTGTTTTGACACCTTGAAAAATGATCATTAATACATTAATATCATAACAAACAAAACAAATTATATGATACGATCGCTAACGTTTAAAAAGGTAAAAAATAGAGGAATGATGAATCTTCGTCTTTAACTATGTATGTGTATTATGCAGAATATTTAAATCTAAAAAAAAAAAAATGTACATGGCCTTCTCCTTTTTGCACTTGTAGTTGGCCGCCGTATATGCATGTTGCAAAAATTGAGAAGTTTTGATCTACGATGAATTTGGAATTGGATATCTCAAAATATAAATAGTAAAGAAAAAAACCTTTTGATTTCGTCTATTCTTTAGATGCCTCGTATTCCTCATATCACAATATTTTTGACAAATGACAAGATCATGTCCTGTGTAATTAAAATTCTCTGAGATCGACTTCACTATGATATTATTGGAATTATGAATCAGATATGCTGAATCATCAATACAGATTAAGTTCTTAAGAAGTAATTAATTTTTTGATTTCTTAAATTTTTTTCTTCATACCAAAATTTTTAGCAACGAAATACTAAACCGTGAAGTTAGTTGGCAAACCCTAATTGAGATGACATGAATTTTAAGTTGTGTGAATATGTTAAAAAAAACAATACTTCTTTAGAGCTTGATTTTGTATTGATGGTTCAGAGACATTCAGCAGCAATCAGAGGTGGAGCGGCGTGAAGCCGCATATTACGCTCCTTCCGTGTAATTTTAAAAAGATGCCTAACGCATCTTGCATGGTTACGTGCCCTGTTCCGTCGCAGTAAAATGGCTTCCTAGGCACCCTCCTCATAACATTGTTGAGAATGAAATCCAAAAACAAGAATGAAATCCAAAAACAATGTTCTAATCTCCACTTTCACGAACTCCTGAATTACGATCATGGAAGCAAATTAATAGTTACTTCTTGTAATTAATGTACGTCTAGTAGGGATGCAAAAGGTATATTCAACAAAATATAATATTCTAGTCAGAAATTTTGACCTGATAATTTTATTTATATGATTTTCTCTGTTTCACTTTCATATATTGGTTTTCATTGTTTTCAACTTCCAGAATGGCAAGGAAATAGGCTTACACTGTTATCTTCGTCCTGATAGAATATAACTTACTATCTTGTATATCTTGTACGTTAATACTTTACCGGTCTTCCTGATTTTGTGTAATCATTTTAGCTTTTATATATATATTTTTTTTTCACTATCCATCTATTACAATCATATTTGGCCCATCGTATTAATGATCCGTAAACTACTATTGATTAGCTCGTTATGATCGATTTGGGAAAAAATAACGCCTCTTGTTCGAGCTTCTTTCGCAAGACTATTCCTATATATAGCGGCCTGATTTTGTGTAATCAATTTAGCTTTATATAGCCTAATAAATACATAGATCCTCTCAAAGGGAATTTACCATCTTTCATGTTACGGACTCTCCAATTTTGTGTATTTATTTATATATTGATACAAATTAGTTCTGTCTCAGTTAGTCGCAAGAGAACTCTGAGTTTACAACTTTAATTTGAGCGTGTCTTCTTCTGAGTTTGCTACTTGTTGTATGTGGCTCGTGCTGGGGCTCTCTTAATAGGGCAACGTAGCAAGCCTTTGGCACGTGCTGTTTTTATCAAAGTTCGCGGCTGAGACGATGAAGTTGAAAACAGTTTTTCTTTCGCTTAGTTTTTCGAAATTTTTCAAAAAGGGATTTTTTTTCCTTCTCGGTGGTACGAATTTTTCAGAGGTGAATCCACGAATTTGGATGCGATTTTAAAAATAATCATGTAAAAGTAATACAAAATTTAGAACTTCGTTAGTCCGCACCCTCTTGCAAATTTGTTCGAAGCCACTATGTATTTAGATTGAACTACAAGTTTAGATTTTAGTTGATGGTTGTGATGAGATCAATAACATCGAAAATATCCTAGTTCAAATTAAATGCGACCTGCTCATCGACATGGCATGGCAAGGAATGGATATTTAGTTTCTTGACCAAGTCAAACAGGGCGGCTATGTGAACAGTCAATAGCTACCGAATCAAATTGCAACTTAACAATTTAGCTAGCAAAGTAGTAATGAAACCAATCATTGATCAGTGCACTGTTTATCAATAAATTATAGTATGAATTTCATCAAAAATCCATTTCTCTTTGCCGCTTATCCTCCAAGATGTATTAGAATAGTAAAACTTCTTAATATCCAATTTCATTGGTCACTAAATGTATTAAAGAACAAAATTCTAATAGAAACAGTTTTTTTTTCTTCTGCAATTCTAATAGAAACAATTAACTTTAAAATTTATATAATAGAGTAAAAATTTATTCCTTACAATATTCATCTTTCTAGCTACTTCCGTGTTACCTTTGTATACTTAGAAGACACTGTGTTATTTGTAGGGTTATCACATTTATTTTACGATTAAAAGTTAACACTAAACACCATCATTTCACTATAAATAGAGGTCGATCTTATGCTTATTTCCTCACACCCACATACATACATACATACATACATTCAAAACAAAAATAATAGTCATGGCTAAGTTTGCTTCCATCATCACCCTTCTCTTCGCTGCCCTTGTTCTCTTTGCCACTTTTGGTGAGTAATGATCTTATCATATATGCATAGCAGAATGAGTTTTAAAGTTTCCTTTTTCTCAGATTATTTTTATGTTAATTAACCGTGAGATATATCTATATGCAGAAGCACCAACAATGGTGGAAGCGAAGTTGTGCGAGAGGCCAAGTGGGACATGGTCTGGTGTTTGTGGAAACAATAATGCGTGCAAGAGTCAGTGCCAGCGACTTGAGGGAGCACGACATGGATCTTGCAACTATGTCTTCCCTGCTCACAAGTGCATCTGCTACTTCCCTTGTTAATCTACCCAAAATTCATTAGATGGTTAATACTGCGCGTGTATTTTACATAAAATAAGTCTGTTTCACCATCCATGCGTGATTTTATGACATGTATCAGATATGTTTATGTTGGTTTGGTTATAGTATAAAGTTTTATATACCACAAAATCACCCGTCTATATATATAAAGCTGTGCATAACATCATGTTCAGTTTACCCTTTAAAAAAAAACATCATGTTCAGTTTAATAAAACAAGTGGCTTACTTAAGCTAATTCAAAGTAAACAAAAAAATGTGATGGCGTATTCAGTATGAATAGTGGTTTTGCAGAAAGGATTGGAAGGGCATATATCTTGAACAGTTAAAAAATGCCAAAAAGAAAAAAAAATGTATATACGGTCAGAAAAATTTGTGTTCTATTTACCTAGATCTATACGGCTGGTTTGGCTATAGAATGCTGAATGACACAGTCAAGCGGTCTCGGAAAGGATTTTATTATTTGTGGGTTGATTATTAAAGGTCCGTTAAAAAAAAAAAGATTATTAAAGGTGAATTTTTCTTTTTGTTGTTTAACTAGAATTACCTTTTACCGTTTTAATGTTAGAATCCAATATTGCTCGATCTTGAATATTACCGGCTCTTCTTACTATTTTGATTTTTCAAAATTAAATTTCAAAAAAAAATTCTGATCTTGAAGTTTTGATGATATATTAATAAATTTCAAAATTCACATGGGTTTGAAAATATTCAAGGTTAAAAATTCAAAGAACAAACTTTTAGTTCCATGAATCAGTAAATTCCGTAAATCAATATTTTCAAAAATTAAATGATCCAAACGGATAATTTTTCTTGTTAACAGAATAAGTTAATACTCTCTCTATTCAGAATTAGTTGATATTTAAGGTTTTTGTACACAGATTAAGGATGCATTTAACTTTTATTTTTTCTATATTAAAAATATTATTTATCATTTATTTAAATATCATTCAGCCAATAAAAAAATAATCTACAGAATATAAAAAGTCAAAAACAATAAAAATTCATTAAATTTTACATTGAAAAGTGAAAACATCAAATAATTCTGAACAAAAAAAACCTCCTAAAACATCAAATAATTCTGAACAGAGGGAATAACATATACGGAAGAAGATGGGAAATTTAAATCGTGTATTGATGATCTGTCCCGAAATGAAAAATCATGGCCCAATGTGTCGACCATGGAAAATCAAAGAGAAACTAGACAAGGACACAAGGTATATGCCTTAATTTGAAGCAAAGCATATGCGTAGTCATTTTCAATTTGTGGGCCTGGGCTCACTCTCGGGCCTCGAGTGAGTCTTCGCGTTATTTTTCTTTTCTTGGCTTCGAAATTTGCCTAAGTATTTGTGCCTAAGTATTTGTGCCTAAGTGTTTTTTTTTCCGTTACAGCAAAGAACATTGATGTCACGTGACAATCACAATAAAAAAAAAATACTAGTTCCTAGTAAGTTAATAAAAAATATTTTTTATTAACTTATTTACTAATATGTCACTAGAATTAATGATCAAATCTTACTAATTTTTTTTAATAAAACTTGAATTTAATTTAATGTAATAATAAAAAATGAATGGGAAAAGGTGTTTTTGGTGAAGAGTAGGTAGAAGCGTAGAGCTAACTCTAACCCCTTCTTTAGTTTCATATAATTGCTTATTAGCTCATATCTTCCCACTATATATAATTGCTGAAAATATTGATGAATCCATCTAACGTATGAAGAAAATGTAATGATGCGACCGAATGATTTGGCTAAATATCTTGTGGGAACAAGAAGTTACTTGTCATATGCTCATTGGTAGGTTGAATGACAATTTAGCACGTTCTTGAAAGATTTTTCGTTTCCTACATATATGTCGTAAAGATGAAGGAAACTCTCAAAACATAATAACAAAATACTCTTGACAAAAATAAAACTATATTATAAAATGTTAAAGATATTTGATAAAAGGAATGAAATGGTGCCGTAACACTAAGTTGCACGTTCTTGACGAGAGTCGTCCCAATCCAATGATTAATATCTCAATTTTATGCCTCCCCATAGTTTGGTCGATTGTGTAACTTCGAGTTTTTAATTATGTCTTTTGTTTTTATAATTTTCGATTATGTTAAGTATGGTCAGATTAGAGAATTAAAGAATCCATGTTTAAACAAGATACAAGTGAATTAGGTTGTTGTTTTGGTGGTAGTTACTAGTTAGCTTATCTTATACAAATACTAGTGCCATAATGTAAAAGATCATTCATTGAAAAAAAAAAAAAAGAGTTATAAAAAATCATTACAACGGATGATTTCTCTCATTCAAATTCGAATTTAAAGTGCCAAAAATAAATAATTTAAAAATTAAAGTGGGGTGAGTGTAGATGATAAGGTGTTGTTAGGTGTACCATTAGCTGGCATAAGGTTGTATGTAAAAGCTCATCTCAAAGTCACCAACGGCCCAAAAACAAAGAAAAATAAAAAAAATAAAGAAAAGAGAGAAGAAGAAAAAAAGCAAATATTTTCTTCATTCTTCTGTCACAATAAACTCTCATCGATTTGCTGTTTTGAATTCTGCCGTTCTGCTGTTCGGGATTCGAAAGTTTTCGAGTTCGAATTCTAGGGTTTTTCTTTAATTCCTGAGTTTAGGAAAAGGTTGTTTCTTGGTTTCTTGGGAATGGCTGGGATTTGAAGAAGTAGAAGAGGGTAAAAGAAAAAATAATAGATTTTTGTGAGTTTGTGTGAATTTGCGGCGAATATGAGCGCTTCGAGGTTCATTAAGTGTGTCACCGTCGGCGATGGTGCCGTCGGAAAAACCTGTATGTTGATTTCTTACACGAGCAACACTTTCCCTACGGTAATTAAATTCATCACTAAGCTTCCTTCTTTGTTTTCTTGTTGATCTTGATTCTTGAAGCTTCTTTGACAATGGTTTTTGTATACTTTAGTAAACTCTTTTTATAAATACGATTTTGCTTTCCCTTATCATCGGAAAATATGTACAGTGTTTAAGGGTAATCTCTAAAAAGAATTGAATTCGGTTGAAAGAAAATTGTTACTAAAGTTGACATTTTGTTCAAAAAATTTGGTGATGTGGGTTTAGCTCCTTAGTTAGCATCGTTAGCTACGAGAATCTCAGTCAGCGCATTTTTCTTCGTTCAATTATGGAATCATGTTGTACTTCGTGTTCAACTTGTATTTATAGGTCAAATTTGCACACTTGGTTATCGACAATCTTGTCCCTTTTTGTGTGTGTTTTATGATGTTCCGTTCTAGTTTGTCTTGAAAAGTAGTTCTAATTTGACTTGTTATTGACTATCAGGACTATGTTCCAACTGTTTTCGACAACTTCAGTGCTAATGTGGTTGTAGATGGGAACACAGTGAATCTTGGATTGTGGGATACAGCCGGTAAAATATCCTTTTGAATCCCATCAAATCCGGTTTCTTGTTTTTCTATTGAGGGTTTCATTTTGACGAACTCTTTGGGGTTTTGCAGGTCAAGAAGACTATAACAGGTTAAGGCCATTGAGTTACCGTGGTGCTGATGTATTCATTCTCGCATTCTCGCTTATTAGCAAGGCTAGCTATGAGAATGTAGCCAAGAAGGTTGGCTCTTTTGTTGATCTAACTTTCTCCATTTGATAACCTTTGCTTGAGCTGTTTCTTATTTGCTTTTTGATCTCAGTGGATTCCTGAGCTCAGGCATTATGCCCCTGGCGTTCCCATTATCCTCGTTGGAACAAAACTCGGTATCTACTCTGTTCTTGTCTAAACCTCTTTCCTGATAAGAAGAAGAGACAATAGTTCAGTTTCTCTTATTAAATTTTTCGAATTTGCAGATCTTCGAGACGACAAGCAGTTCTTTATAGACCATCCTGGTGCAGTACCGATTACTACAAATCAGGTAGGTAACTCCACAATCCAACATTCTTTCAGACATAAGTTTTTTGCCAGACGAGTTCTTGATGAGATTTGTTTTAATTGTTTGTCCACAGGGAGAGGATCTAAAGAAACTGATAGGATCTCCAGTTTACATCGAATGTAGTTCAAAGACGCAGCAGGTACACTCCATATAAATCATATCTCAAATGTTGGGTCTTTGTATAAGAGACTGAACATGTCTTTTGAGTCTTGTGTTTTGCAGAATGTGAAAGCAGTCTTTGACGCAGCCATAAAAGTGGTGCTTCAGCCACCGAAGCAAAAGAAGAAGAAAAAGAACAAGAACCGTTGCGTGTTCTTGTGATCATCTTTATAAAGTATGATTTAGGTAACAAACGAAGCTGAAGAAAAAACAAAACCAGCATCAAATGCAGCAGCAATGTGTATAGTTGTTGAATCGGGCTTGTTTCGGTCTTTACACTCTTTTGTTTTTGTTTTTGCTGGTGCATCTAATCAGGGAAGTGAGGCCAAGGGGAAGTCTGGTTAAGAGAAAGGGATGAGTTCCTGGTGTGTTGTTGTTGTACTTTTGCTATGTAGACTAATCTCATACTTTTTTTTATGTTTTTTGTTTTGGTTATTGGGAATACATTTCGTATTTTTAACAGATGAGTTTAATTAATTTTATCATCTTATTTTTCTATTCTAAAATTTTAAGCTCAGGTTTTCATCTTTTGTCGATCTTATGATGGTAATGAGCGTTGGTATTGGCATGTAATTAGATGCTGACAAAAAGTAGAAGAAATAAGAACGTGCTGTGATGGATTTTTGTATACAATAGAAACAACGTTAAATTGAGGCAGGGATTCAAAGAACGGTTTGCACAAATGAGGATTATATAATATACACATAGGAGAGTATTAGGAGCAAAGAAAATAAAAGATTACAAAGGTTTCTCCACTTTTGTCATGGACCGAAAAGAAAACAAACATGTGTATACACATCCTTTTCAGTGACTTTTCACCATTTCTAATCCACCAAAGGAATTTAGCTCTATGGATTCGATTCAGGGCTGTGTGGTGGATACAAGTCACAACTTGATGAGGTCGTATTTGTCACCCATCAAGCCACCTTTCTGTTTTTGGAACCTAATGTAACGCAATGTACTTGTAAAGAAGGGATCTGAGTGGATTGTTGTGTTACCGTTGTCACTTTGCATCTCGTTGTTGATTAACTCTACGAGGCTCTGTATATCAGATGGAGTGATATGTGGATTCCCTTTCTCAAAGAAGTAAATGTACCTGTTGTATGTAAAAAAAAAACATTATTAATATTGATGCTGCTTTGTGTAGAACCAATGTCATACGTTTTAATTTGTATTGGTTCAGTATACTGACTTGTTCAAGATTTCGACAAACAGCGTGACTGGTCCGCTGCTACCTCGGGTTGCATTAGCCATTTGTTGAGCTGCGTTTGCTATCCTCAGTGCACGTCTTAAACAGAGAAGAGCTCTGCATCATAAAGGAATTGCTTTTCAATAGTCACTACCTGTGGTTTATTTTCTCTGCGGAAAACAATAAAGAAGAGAAGGATGAAAGTAATGAAAAACAAAAAGCAGTTACCTTTCTCCATCTTTGATGCCATCTAGATCATCGACCCAAAAGAGGTGAGAGCATGCATAAACCGCTCGACATTGATCAGGCTTCTTTAGAAGCCTTGCTGAGTACTGGTCACAAGGAAAATTCAACTTACATTTTTGGACATAAGCTGAGAAGAAAGTATATTAGTGAGAAAACATTGCCAAAATAATCATACCCCGGTTGCTTTATGTGTTAAAGTGTCCCTATTTTCAACACCAAAGACGTTGATCCTTTGCAAGGTTCCAACAATCAGATGAATTGCAGTTACCTGGGCCTTGGAGTCCTATAGTATAATAATAACACAGACAAGAAAACGAAAGTCTTTACAAGTTTAGGAGAGGATTTTAGTTGTGTAAAGTTCACACAGAAAGAAAAAAAAGTTACCGCGATTTCTTCCTCATATAATATAAATGCTTGGGTGAAAAACTCATAAGCAACAGGCTCAAGATCACAATCACTTGCAGCCTGATCATCAATCCAAAACAAGAGAAGTTACTGAGAATGCTATGACAGATTAAACCTTGCCTACAGACAAATTCTAGTTGTGTTGGTGACCTATAGATTACCTCAGCGCACTGGAGGTAGAGCCTTAGAGCCAGTTCAGGACATGGAACTGAGGAGAGAACCTCGATTGTCTGGAACAAAAAGCACATGTTCAATGGATTATCAAAAATATTGGGCATTACAAGTGACGTATCATTAACAACTTAATTTTCGCACAATGCAGCTCGGCGAACTAATACAAATTAGTCACATAGAGAAGGTAACTCCTTTATTGGTTTTCAAAAGATGATCTGAATTTATCAAGGAGATAAACGATTCACAAGAATAAGTGTCTAACTCCTGGGAATCCAGCCTCAGTGAAGTAACACATGTTTCTCTATCTTAGACGTATTAAAAAAGGAGAGCTCATAGAACCTGGTTGAGAATCTGAAAAATCTTCCTCGGGGTTGCTGGGACATCTTCTCCAGTTATATCTCCACCTTGGGATTCTAACTGCCTGACCAACTGTGGCGGAAACATTTAAGCAACTGTCAACCATTTGTTTTAAAGCAGAGAATCTCTAATCCCTCTGGAGTGATCACTTGAAAATGATTTAAGACAACTAAACGAATGGATTAGCAAATTCATAGATATATAGATTGTTTGTGTAAATCTAAATTCACATAATAACAAAATTTATAATTAACATTAGATCAATGTATACTTAATTAACGTATATTCTTATTCTACTAATATACAAATTTTACTGTTTAAAATTAAAATATGATAACAATTTTTTGATTTAAAAAATAAATTATATCTAAACAAAAAAATAAATGCAATTTATATTTGAAATAAAAAAATAAAACATTCTCGTGCGGACGAGGTTAAAATTTTGTTTTAAAGCAAAGAATCTCTAATCCCTCTGGAGTGATCACTTGAAAATGGTCACACTCAAGGAGTTGTGTAACTAAATATTTCCATATGAGAAAGCATTCCACATAAATAACTGCACATGTTAAAACTTGATATATACTATGTAATTCATGTAGAACTGAAGACAATACTTTTTTTTTCAGTGACAATTCCAGAAAGAAACAGTGAGAGTGTGTATCAAAAAATTTCTAGAGCATCTATCGCATTCGCACTGTACGATAAAATCTTAAGAGGCAATATCTGCCTTGATTGGGTGGGTTTGTTGTGCAAGGGTACATATACACAAGTAACACAACTGGATACTCACACATACAAGCACGTTATAGAGAATATAAGAGAAATACCCTGAGTGCAGAAAAAATAAGTGGGGGAACGGTGAAAGGCAGGCGTCGAGGTCCTCCTGTCATAAGATGCTTTCTCACAACACATATAATCTGCATATCAGAAAAGTACTTAGGTAAGCCATTTGTTTACTCATAAGATAATATGTAAATTGAAACTATGGTCTAATAGCCCAATGGTTATACATATGACTTCAGTTAAAGAACGCCACTGGGCCTGAAGCCGGCCTGCAGGTCAATTTAGGAATGCAGGCGGCTTCAGGGGAGTGGAGCAACAGACTCACTCAGATGTACAGTTCCAAGGAATAAAAAAACATGTTCAGTTTAAGGAACAAGTCATTGTAACAATTCCATAATATCTACTAAAACCATGGAAGGTCCGGAAACAAATTGCATATAACTACTGAACTGAACGTATTGTATGATGTGTTCACCTTTAGCATCTCCTCTGGTTCTTCATTATCAAGCATATGTATCAGTCGGGCTACTGAATTTTGTTCCTCTTGAAAATCCTCCTCATCAAGCTAAATGCGAACACAGAAAATCCATGAGGACCAAGATGTTAGATTGGAGCTGACAAGGGTTATTAATAGTGATTGCAAACCACGTGGGAAAAACCAAGGAAAAAGTGATAGCACCTCCTCCATGTCGGTTCCATCCAAATCCTTAATAAGTCCTTTTATCAATTCAAACAGCACCTCAACCTAGTGAACACAAATTGGCATATTATTACAGTAGATATGTACGTCTCTTATTGAAGAAAGTAGTAAGCATACCTTATCAGCAGTTGAAATACACGAATCGTTTTTCATTATACTTTGAATAATAAGCATTGCCATTACTTTATTCGTTCCATCATCAAGATGATCCATGACACGTGGATAATTTGACAGTGTAAGAGCTGTAACTATATCACTGTATTTTTCTAAAGGAGCACTCAGAAGTGCAACAACTTGCTTCATTGCACGGGCGTCCTCCAGCTTGGGCAGACTGGAAAGCTTAACTACACATGCGCCCTACAAAGTTTGCGGATCAAGAGTTAGTTTAAACCAGCGCTACACTAGATTCAATTAATCATAAAATCTAAACAATTCATCATACACCATTCACAATGAAAACAAAGTGATTCTGAATGAAAACAAAGTGATTCTGAATTGGAATAAAATTATATAGCATAGATACAAGCTACATAGGCAATTAGGTATAGTACAAATTTAGGAAAGATGGCCACGGAAGGAAACCATACCAATACTTGATCCACATAGTCAAGCCGGTCAGGGTGAACTCGGAGTGTAAAAGTAAGAAGAGAGACAAACAAAGTCATAGCTCCAACAATAGGCATCTCAAGCTGTGTATCTATCACCTGCGACTCACAACAAGTCCATACGTCATATAAATGAATTACAAGAAAAATGAAGCATTTCATGCAGGCTGGAAGAACCAAAGACTTGAAGCATTGAGTCCATCGATCAGCAGAACTAACAATATGAACCGAGGCGGTTAAGTCCAGACCGGGAAAATAAAAAAATGGTTTTGAGATCAAACTAAACTAGACGCATCATCCAGAAATCTGATAGCTTATTGTTTTAATGGTTCTTTTTATCAAACATTCTGCATAAGTTTACATGCGCTCTTCATCTACCTACTGAACCATCAGATCTAACAATCAGAGAACAGACACTTTCAGACTATGGTGGCATTATTTTCCACCACATGCCATAGATGTAACTGATATGACGATGCTTAAAGAAGGCAAGACAAGATTGGAAAATAGCATGACAAACTACAATCAAGCTGACTAGCTCTCATGGTACTAGGGACCTACAAAGGACTACTCTAAGGGACGTTATGTTTCAAGAATATCCAGCAACTAAAAGAAATTTCATTTATGAAAGATTTTTCTTTTAATGGAGCCAACCTTTCCAATTGCATTGCTCAATTTAGCGAAAGCTTCCACTTGCAAAAATTCGTGTAGCACCTGCCCAGAAGTAAAGAATAGAGACATCTCAGTAACATCAAACAAAAAGAAAAAGCCACAAAGATAGCTCAATAGAAACTTACATCTGGACTTGAGGCAGCATAGTTTGACAACCGGTCCATCAGCTGGGTTAACACTATCTTGGTGTCAACTGTTGGCTGAGAAATTATTTCTTAAAGTCAGAGAGGAAGGAAAAAGGTCAAAGATTTCAAGTGGCAAAAGTGCAGAGCATGGAAACAAAACAAAATGCTCTTTGTCGAGGATTCCCTACTCAGAGTTTTGTAATTCAAGTCAAATTGTAAGAGATCAGGGACCTCCTTTAAATTTATAATTGGTGAGCCAAATCTCTAGCCACCAAGAAATAAGCAAAAAAAAAAACACCAATTACTAGCAAACAACAAGAATAGTGAATGGCAATACAGACAGCTACGATAGATCCCTTCAGGAGATGAAGAATAGTTAATACGAATCCCGACAAACCATCTTAGATAACATACGATTGCATTGGAGAATAGGAAAGAGAAAAATATCGATTGCTAGCCTACCCACCATCAGTTGGGTACAAGCAGCCAATAATGTCTCAAGAGTCTGCAAATGGTACTCATCAGGAAAGACTTGAATTATGCACTCCATCAGATAATACTGAGCCAGCTCATCTTTACAGTTGACGACCTGTTCAAGGTTTCCAGATTTATCAGATTATACAGCAACTGAAGTCTCATCCTTACCGAAAAGAACTCGTAACATATGCAAAGATGAGCTGTTGAACCTGCTCTAAGACCCTAGGAAGAACAGTCTCTTTGTACATCTCAAGGTCAACACCTTCGATCTGTCCTAGAACGTGCAGATTTTTTCCAACCTGAGAGGAAAACATTAGATACAACTTATTGGGCAGTCACATGGTAAAATAGGGTATTCAGTCCAGTAGTGGTATTGATATTACAAGATCACGAAGTTCGTTCCTCTCTTTCTCCTGCTTTTCTCGAACTGTTCCAGGTCCCTGCAGTCCAAGGAACACCTCAGCTCAGGTTCACCAATATCAATGATTCACAAGCACCACACAACCTGCATGACCAAAAGCATGCTTTTCATGGTTCACTTATGCTTCAGTCAGAGGCATGCAAGTGCAGAGGTGCTATGCGTATCTAACTACCATCAACTCTTCATAGATCGAAAATTCACCTGATGCTGGATTCGAACCCAGAGCTTATTCATCTCTGTGAAATTTTGTAGCACAAATTCCACAGCATCCATCACAGTATTCGCATCTCTGCAGAGAGTTGAAAGGAGAGTAAACAAACAGCTAAGCACCCAAATTTAATGGAAAAAATGAGAGAGAAAAGCATAGTTAACGCACCCTTCATAGTCTGAGCCAATCTCAGGTAACTTATCCCTGCTCACTTGTGCAAGATAACTCCTCAGAAAAAGCCCACGAATTGGATGTTGAACACCTCGACACATCTCCACGAGATCCTTGAGAACATCCTTAGAAGGAGCTTGCTTGCTTTTGATGTAAACAGATCCTACTGTACATAGCAGATACCTGGTAAACGGACCTCATGAGTTTCAAACTTTCAATTACAGTGCAGACAATCATTCAGCAAGACGAATCAATGCAGACCAAGAGAGAATGGTGGATAGCAAATAATCTCTTTATACGCCTAGATGTATACCAAATCGCCATTTTCTAGTCTAGTCTCATAAGTGTAGTCCAATCTAGCTAAATGATTGAGACTATCAGATCTTCATCCGATCAGTAGAAACAGAAATTAGCTCAACGAAGAAATTGAATCTAAATAATCTGCTTACATCCTGGGTAATATGTTCCCGGCATGTTGAACAAGCTCATACAAATCCACCACCGGTAATCCATGCCTACTCTCATCCTTGAAGAAAATCTCCAGCTGCCTCAATTGATCGAAAGCACGCATATCTAAATCGGTCGAAGAAACCAGAAACCATTAGAAACGGTCAAACAAAGAATGAAATCGAGAGATTCAAAAGTTCGGGCGATGGAATATACAGAGATCGTAATATTTCTGAGGAGATAGCTTGGACGTCCGGAGCTCAGATAGCATCAGAGCAGAGTACTTGAGGACTTCTCTGAGATTATTTGCGTCCTGGGAAACGAAGAGACGAAAAATTAATCAGATCAAAAAGGAATCGGAACTCGGCGGAGAAAAATTGGGAGGCAAACAGACCAAGGCGCGATGCATGAAGAAAGCGTTGTGCTGGATTCCGGCGATTCCTTCCGCCAGCCACTTCTCCTCGTCTTCTACTCCGGCGAGCGGTCTCATCCTCTCTCTCTCTCCCTCCCTGTGTCAGCAGTTTTTTTTTCCAGTTGAGCGCACGAATAATAGACTTTCGATTATTTGTTTTTCGTTTAAATCATTATCTCACAATATCGAACTCAACGATATGTTTTGTTTTGTTTTTTTTTTTAAATCAAAATTCATATTTTTGGCGATTAATTAATCTCATCTTTAGAGTATATTTTTTCTAAACTGGTAACTGTATCTTGGGTTTAAAAATGTTGATATCACCAAAATCAGTCGACAATTTCGATCAGTCTATGATATAGAAATCGGAAGTATCCCTAAGCATTTATTTAGATGTGGAAACTTCGGGTCCATGTAATGTCGTTGTTGTCGTGAGAGGTTAGAAAAATCATTTGACATTGATCACAGAAGCTGATATAAGAACAATAACGCATTTTTATCTCTCAGAGAAGTCAGAGCAACAAAAGTTACAAATACAATCATATCAAAATTGGGTTAGATTAGAGAATTGTTGTTACAACCTGTTACACTGTACAAGCTAGACAAAAGCTAGGCCAAAAAAAAAGATGGAACATTAGAACGGGACTGTATACGGTAACGAATATATCCCGACTTCGGACAAAAACTGAGCTCTAGGCCAAGAGGAATCTCCACGTCTATTTAAACTCATATCCATGTTTTCATCAATCTCGCCTAAAGCTTTTCGGTTAAGCTTCTCCTGCGCCCTATTCCCAAAGAGCCAATCATCATCATCATCCTTGGAAGAAGAATCAACCTCCATGGTAGGAAAACATATGGAGGAAGGTGGAGTCCAATCATCAAACAATGCATTGTATCGATCTTCTTTGCTTGGCTTGTGTTTCTTTCTCTTCTTTGTTTCAGCAACTGCAGCCGAAGATGTTGAGGGCAGATTCTCTACAGGCTCAGATACTTTTGAGCATGAGACAGAACTTGTTATCACAACATCCTGGTGACTGACAGGCTTTGAAACCGAAGTAGAGCAAACAAGATCCTCTCGAGGAGGATCAGAAACTTCCGCCTTTGGTTTTTTGAATATAAAACGGATCCGAAGAGGATTTCCTGCTACAGGTGCAGCTGCAAATACATGTATAAATACATGTGAATCCAACAGCAACAGCAAACGACATGATCTCCTTCAATTTCCATTCAGGTATATAGATACAAACCTTTGATTGAACTTTCAACAGCAGGAGGAGAGTCATCTAATTTTCTCTTCTTACTGTTATGGCTTCCATCAGAGAGATAACCGAGCTGGTTTTGAGGTCCCTCAAGCTCTTCAGTCAAATCACTCCTCTCAAGTTGATCGGACTCATCTGAGACTTTCTTGGAAGGAAAGAATTGTTTTTTGTGAACATCATCGGCTTTACTGGAGGAATGTTTATGAGATTTCTCATGCTTTTCTTTCTTGTGCTTTCGTCTCTCCTTCTTTTCCTTCTTCTCTTTCCGGCACGCCGTTTTTGAATCATTTAAGATTCTTTTGAGCTTTAATCCACCAGAATAAAGGGTTTTAGGCTAGAGGTATTACGGGACCGGAACAACCACCCCACACTCAATGCGGAAACACACATAGAAGAGACACTACATGACATATAAGCCCCAAAGAAACAACTTATATAGACATCTCTAGACCAGGTAGAATGAAAAACAATCCAGCTTACCTGATTCTTGAAACCCCTATTGATTAGCTATTGAGTGAAAACATACATAAATATATAGGATAATTATATGGTTTACATGAATATAGGATGTAATTGTATATGTAAGTTTAAGAGTATATAAAGGATTTTCAAAGATACAAATTTTAAAGGAGCCATGGAATCCAATTTCAAAGAACTGAAGCAAGAAACCAGATTTTGAGGCTCAACGAACCTTAGTCGATTCGACCAAGTTCTGACAGCTCGCCTGGTTCCTTGCAATCACAAGCGGTGACATGTTTTCTAGCTTTTTCTCAGATCGAATCGGGGGTTTTTAATTAGGTCAACAAGGAGCGATGGAATTCGACTCAAAAGCAAGGTAACCCAAGGCTCGACCAATCCTAAGAGATAATCCGGTAGAGCTTAATCTCGATTTTGCCACCCAAATACGGAGAATGAGAAACCCTAAAAACTTCTCGACCTAAAGATGCAGAGAGAGAGAAGCGCGTTTTGGAATAAAGGTAAAGTGAAGGGTAAGGTCCGTATTTATAGACCCTTGAGATACTAAGATCCGCCGACTCGGACAAAGTCGGTCACTCGGTGGGCTTTTTCGTAAGTTCATTAGCGATAAAAAAAAAGGCAAGGCAATTTAATCGTCAAATTGTCAAAAATCATGTTTGCGAAAAGAAAAGAAAAAAATCGTCAAATTGTCAATAATATCATCGATTCATCGGGTTAGGCTCGGTCCGAACGTCCGAGATTCCGAGCTTCGTCTATTAACCTTTCACACCTTGACCTTTTTTCCTAACTTTGACTCGAATAATGGGTTTAAAATTAGTCATCGGGCTTTATAATTCCAATTTAAAAAGCCCAAATGTATCCCTACAAAAATAAGCCCGTTCGTCTAAAACATTCCTGATTTTGTAAACTCATCAGTTTTTTACGGACGCGTTCATACACCAACGTTCGCGTCTCTTTGTTTCATAATTCATACTTTTCTGTTTCCTATAAATTACACACTGTTATCTCAAATCCATAGGGTTTCTCGATCTGTTCACACATATTTTCTTGCATTATACTACATTCTGCAACAAATTTGACGATCAGAACAGAGACTCTCTTCTTATAATCATACGAAGATGCAAAACGGCAAAGAGATGTTGTCACTGAACTCATCAGGCATCAGTGTGATTACGAATAATCGGACGATTTCTCGAGGCTTGTTTGCTCCATATCAGCAACAAGCACACGATTTCAACAATTTGTTGCAGGTTCTTTTGATCAATTCGTACTAGTGTTATATGTTTTCATTTTCTATAACCATATATCTTTTACATTTGAAATGATTTCAAGTTCTTTTGACTACTGTGCATGCAGAACGATATGACAAGAGAATTGTATAATCAATATAACATTCTCGAGGAGAGAGCCGTGTTGTGTATGAAAGCGAAAGACAAAGCCCTCGAAGAAATGACGAGAAAATCTGGAGAAATGGAGATTCGTCTGAGGAATGCTTTAGCGGAAGTCGAGTTTTTGAGGAAGGTGTCGGATCAGAAAAGCGCCTTGTGTAGAGATCTCGCCGAGAGGCTTCTGAAAGTGAGAAGGAGAGAGTTTTCGACGACGGAGAGGAACTTTGCAGAGGAGGCTCAATCGTCTACAGGGGATAATGGAGACTGTGTCGCAGACACGGCAGGGACCCGTAGGTGCAAACGACGCCGTTCTATGAAATAGGCGGGAGTTGCGTTTGTGACGTTTGAGACACGCACGTGTGTTTTTGTCTATATGCACGTGTGGTAGTGGTATTCATTGTTCTCTGTTTAGTATTCTCACTTCTTAGACATTGTTTGTTGGTATCCTCCAAAAGATTGCAGTGGGAAAGGGAAACTTTGGAAGTTTTATTTAGAACATAAATTATTATTTTTTTCAAACTAAATCATGGGAAGTATACTACTCCCTCCGTTTCATAATAAGTGTCATTCTGACATATTTCACACAGATTAAGAAATTAATAAAATATATAAATATACCCCTAATTAATATACTTTTATAACATTTAATTACAAAGACTATTATTTTTAAAAGAGAGATAAAACAGGAAATAAGAGTAAAAAGTTACATTGAAAATGAAGAATGACACTCTTTTTGAAAAAAAAAAAAATCTAAAACGACACTTATTATGAAACGGAGGGAGTATAACAATAATTTATGTAATCAAATTGGTGAGAATATAACATATAAAACAGAAAAAAAAAATAATTACTTCAACACGTCAATTAGTCAGTATTGTTTTTAAAGAAAACGGAAATCTACAAATTTTCGATTATAGCGAAAGAACTCATTGATAACACACTTATCTTTTGTTGGGTAAAAGTGGTATGGGCTCCATTAAGAGACACTAGACAAATTAATTATTTGTTTAAAGTTTTGTAGTTCAGAACCCGATTTGTCTAGTGTCTTCTTAATAGAAATACGTATTACGTAACCTGTTTTAACTCTTCTTCAACGTGATTTGTGAGTACAAGTTGTACAACTCCTTTTTCACGACAACTCTAACTCTAACTCTAACTCTCTCCCATAAGTTTGGTGATGTTTCCATGCATTATTGGTTTGTGGTTCGGTTATACTTCAAATCTAACATCTTAAACGAATTTTCTATTTCAAATCGAATTGGTTTCCTTCTGGTTCGATTTGGAAGATAGCAAAACCGGGTTCAGTTTGGTTCCTCATTTTGGGATTCTATGAGCTATATACTATGTTTAAGGTTGTATGCTTGTATGTAATATGATCTATAAAAAAAACACTGGGCTTGGGCTCTATAATATCGATTTCTTCACGCATTAAATAGAAGGAAATGTGTACGTATTAACTGGTACAATGTGAGGGTGATAACGGTTCTTAATGGGCCATGGGATCAGATTATATTTTTTTGCCGGTTTTGTACTATGTTGTCCTGTCCACACGAGACGAAATCACATGTATTATATAATACATCTTAGCCGCTTTTTGAATCTTAAGATCGAACAATCTGGTGGCACAGCTTATTAGTTTAGTTGGACTAACCATCTCTTTTTAGGAAAAAAAAAAAAAACTAGACTAACCATCACGTTATCATCAAAAATTTGTATTAAGGCTCTGATTGGTAACCTGCGGAATGGCGGAATTGCATTTTTTAAACACAATTCCGCATGCTTTTTGCCAATCAACAAAAATTCGCGTAATGAAAAAATACATACAAAAATGCAGACTGCGTTTTTGCTTAACAAAAATACAAAGGAAAAGTCATCCCGCAGAAAAGCGACTTATAAGTCGCTTAATCTATTCCGCAATATTTTTTCCGCAATTCCGCCATCCCGCAAAGTTACCAATCAAAGCCTAAATCTCTTAGAACAACTGTATCACCCCTATTGACTATAATATGGTTGTTCACTATTATCTGTGATATTCTTTTATTCGGACTCGCAATCTTTTAAAAAAAAAAGGTGGCGAGCCAATACATTTTTATTTTAAGGATGGAAGTATGAATTACTGAATGGAACGGAATGTTCTAAATTCTAACGAACCATTATTTAATTAATACTTTGAAAAATACAAAAAAAAAATGCAGTCAAAAAGACTTTGCGCACAATATGTTTTAGTGGAATCAAACTCACCGTATTGGTTCGTTGCAAAATAAAGTCCATGTGCACTACAAAAAGATTAGGTTACGAAGATGCGTACGCATAGCTGACCCTTTAATTCAATAACAGAGCCAAAATTCGGTATTTGTCTTGATACATGTAGAAAGAGACAGAAGATAATTAAATGCACAAGTCACAACTGTTAATTGTTGTTTCGCCGTACTTGGATTGTATGATTGTATCATTTAATACTTTCTTCTCTCAATTTCTATTTTTCATATTTCACTAATCAAGACATACAAATCAAGACACTTGTTTCGACATTTTATATACCTTTTACTACTAATTATGAAAAATTACTTTTACTTTCGTATGATATGATGTTGCTTTTTTATAATATACATAATTACATATGGACGAAAAACAATGCCTCCTCGTGAATATGATAAATCAGTAAATCTTTTGATCATATGATGATTTAATACGGAGCTACTGCACACGTTCGGCAGAGTTCAAACAATACCAAACTGTAGTTGAAAAAAAGGAAAAAATAAGTACTTAGCCGGTAACGATTACTATCACGGGCACTTAAATTAAATGTTAAGGCTTTATATCTATAGCTATTTTGATAAGACTATAAGAGAGGGATACATGGAAACTTGTTACCTGTTTATTGGCTCAGTATTTAAAATATGTATTTCACGATATAAATAAGGGACTTAATTTGCATTTACTGCTCCAGCGGTGAACGGATTGTAGCCTTGTGTGGGTCTTCCAATTTAATACCGATGTTATCACCTACTTCGAGAAGACACTGATAGAACATAAAAGATCACAACCACGTGATGACGTCGACCAATATTTTAGAAATTCTCTCTGTTCCAAAATCGATCGTCTAGATATTTATAAGAAATGGCCAAAATGATCAGAATGTTCCACTACGACTGTGAATCTATTAGATTATATATAAGAAATGCAATTTAAATGTATGAGAGAATGTTAGAACCATCATTTAGTACAAATCAGAAGACATATGAGTATATTTATATATTCGTACCGAAACTGGCAATGTCAGTATTTAAAAATTATCCACCATTCTTATAGTAAAAATGGTGAAATGTTGAAGAAAGGTGACAGCCTTTGCTTCACAGAATCTCACTCCCATGTGAAAGTGAAATAAATAGCTAGTACGCGATGTTAGATATGCTGCTTTTATTGCCAGTACGTATAAATTCTCTATTTTTAGGAAGTTTCAGTTTTTTACTGGCTATTCCAATTCAGGAGAGGTGTAGAAACATCCAATGCTGACCAGAATTTGAAATTTACTAACTATGGCAATTAAGACCGTAGATAAAAATAAAATATCTCTCTGGAAGCGAGAGGAGGACTATTTACATGGAGAAATAACAAAATTTGCTGAAGTTGTGAACAATATACAGGATTCTTGATTATCCTTTTTTTTTTGTGCGAACAGGACTCTTGTTTATCCAACCATAAAAATATCACAAGAGACAATGAAAAGACTTGAAAAGGAAAAAGTGGCAAAAGTGTAATTTATCTTTGCCTTGTAATGATAATTCAAATGGTAATGAGTAATGAATGGAGTGTGACGAACATGGTAACTGGCAATAATAATGATTCAATTAATCATGAAGAAATATACAAAAGTGCAATTTGTCTTTGCCTAACTCGAGATCGCTGAGGATTTGAACATCGCATATCGCTACTCTGCCTCCTGTCTCACTAGTTCCTTCCAAAGCTATTTGGATTTTAACAAATTTTTTCGTTGCATTTACAATACATACCTTCATCTTTTTTTTTTGATAAATAATACATACCTTCATCTGTCAGACAGGTTTAATAAAAATGGTGGTTCGAATACAATAATTAAATTTGTGTATGTTGCATACAATATATCTATAAGATAGGTCTAATAAAAACGGTGGTTCAAATGAAAATTAATTTTTCTGATCCTCTCATAAAAATATTTATAACTCTGTTGGCCAGTTGGGCATCCTCTCATATGGTAACGTGTATCATCCCTTTGATGTTCTCAAGAATAAGATATCAACTCAATGTCCATCCAAAATTGGTGGGACTCCGTTTTAGCATCGCTTATCACTTCTCTTGGATTGGTTCATTGTGCTTCAGCCTCATTAAATCTCCTTCGTAGATCTCTGATGGCTCTGCATTTTTACAACTATTTGTCACATGCTCCGAGTTTCTAATATCCAAGTTGATCCCTTTTGATAAATGTTATCTGCTTCTCTATATTATTTTGTTCTTTTGTTTATTTAATTAGCCCTTAACAAAAGAATAAAGAAAGATCAATTTTAATCAATACAATAATTGAGAGGAGCAAGTGGGCCAGTCACCTCTGTTGCTATTTTCATAAAAGTCCAGGTTCGAACCTTGGTCGCTCTCGGAGTAAGAGCATCTCCAATGATTCTTCATTTTTTACATTTTTCTTTATTTTGAAGATAAAAATGAAAAAATGTTCTCTAATATAGGAGTAAGAGCATCTCCAATGGTTTTTCATTTTTTGAAGGTAAACTTTTTTATTTACAAAATGTATATTTAACTTTGTACATGCTTTGTTTTATACCCAAACAAAATTTATATATTTTTTAATCCAATTAATTTTAAAACTGTTAATTTTTTTAATTAAATTATAAAATAAAAATACAATAAAACACAATAAAAATATACAATAACATATATTATATAGAAAATACAAGAACATAAAAATTAAAAATGCATAATTAATACTGAATTATAAATAATAAACTTAACATAACATAAACTAACAACTTAATAATTTGGAAAATCACTTCCAGGTTCATTAAGATGATTAAAATACTGTCCAAATGAAGTTGATGCTGAAGGAGGAGTTTGCTGATTTTGTTGTTGTTCAGCCATTTTCTGTAAAATCCATGCTTGTTCAGCTTGAACATATGTACGAATATTCACATCTTGTATAGAATTTATGTCTTGAAACAAAATTTTCTTTTCCTCTTTAAATTATTTCAAAGCATAATTCTTACTTTGAATATCTAATTGGTGCTGTCTTTGGGAGCTGGTCTTTGGAGTTCATTTGGAGTTCTTCAATCACGTTTCGCAATTGTGAAAGGGCCAACTCGTTTTTGGGATAAGAATGTGCCACATGACATAATGACCACTTATATAATTTTATATAATATGATAATTGAAGATGAGCGTGATCTCAGTGCACCAATTGAAGTAAGAAGAGAAGTTCCACCTCCAGAGGTTGAAATAGAAGCAAATGAAAGTATCTGGTTCCAAGAATTTCTGGCTCGTTATAGAAAAATCAAGGATAAAGAAGTTCATTTCTCTCTTCGAAATGCATTAATTGACCATCTATGGGAAAAATATGTGTCTTCTAGTACATCATAAAATTATGCATGGTTTGTTCTTATTTACATTATGTATTCTTTATGTAATAAAATTTTTAATTATATAAAATTTATAATTTGGTTGAATAATTACTTTACGTAAATAAATAGGTGAAAATTTGTAAAACTGAAAAGTATAGGATCTTGTTAGTAATTAATAAAAAAAAAGAGATAAAATATACTTGGAATATTCTTTTTGAAGAAAAAAATGAAGAAAGTTTGCTCCAATGGTTTCTTCATTTTTTTCCTTTAAAAATGAAGAAACTTCATATTTGAAGGAAAACATGAAGATGCTCTAAATGACCACTAGGCGACGAGGACAACAAATAAAAAAATAATTAAATGAGTGAACATTATTAATATACGTCGCACTAAACCTATGCTTCTTGAAGAAATGGCTACACATAATTTTGTTGGATATCAATAACCTAGGAGACTTTTTGTATTATCTTCGTACCCTTTTGGAACAATTCCTTTTATTTCTTATTTATATTTGAGTCAAACATACTGAAAGATTGAAACAAAGATCATGGTGGACGTTTCGTTGTTAATTATAACAGTGGTCTTATAGGCTCTAACGACAACACAGTACTAGATATTAGAAGAACTTGTAGAGAGAAAAAAAACATGTCGTTGTCTTCAATTTATGACAACAACCAAACCAAACTCATCACAAAAACAAAATCCTTAGTAATATATAAATATATATACATAGGAAGCGGGAGGAGGATTATTCACATTCATAATCCAAAGCTTTCAAAGAAACAAGATTTTGTTTTGTTTTCACAAACTTCCATATATACTATTTACATAACAGCTATGGAACGACGTCGAGCTCTTCAACACAGTTTTTCTTATTTTTGTCTCTCTTCGTCGTCTATACTATACTGGTGTATTTTCTTTCTCGTATTGTTATTTACGTCAGCTACAAATGCTTTAGTGAAACTTCCGGAAAACACGACCATTCCGGCAATAATAGTGTTCGGAGATTCAATAGTGGATGCCGGAAACAACGACGATATGATAACGGAGGCTAGATGCGATTATCCTCCTTATGGTATTGATTTCGACGGTGGAGTTCCTACGGGAAGATTCTCCAATGGAAAAGTCCCCACTGATATGCTAGGTTAGTTTATAACCGCAAGTTTCTTTTTTTTTTTCTTCTTCGTTGACTAATTTTTAAAGTGTTATATATAACACTAACCATGTATTATTTATTGGACAACTATATAGATAGCGAATGCTTTGGCTAGCTGGTTAATGACTCCCACAACCCGTGAATAGTTTTATTTCCTTTACAATTTGTGTAAAATAAAGCTAAAACACCAAGTGGCAACCTTTATTATTCAACTATAAATTAAATTATATCAAAAAGTTGCAAATTATGATTTCATAACTTATTGTTTTTATAGCGGAAGAATTAGGGATTAAACCATATATACCGGCATATCGAGATCCAAACCTAAAACCAGAAGATCTCTTAACCGGTGTAACATTTGCTTCTGGTGGCGCTGGTTATGTTCCTTTGACAACACAAATAGCGGTAGTTAACCTCCCCTTTCTATGTTATAAGTTTATCTAATGAAGTGTTTAAAATAACTAATATTTTTTTTGAATTTTTTTAAAAAGGGTGGAATACCATTATCGCAACAGTTGAAATATTTTGAAGAATATTTAGAGAGATTGAATGGATTGGTCGGAGATGAGAGGACAAAGTTCATAATTAAGAATAGCTTGTTCGTTATTATATGTGGTAGTAACGATATCGCCAACGACTTCTTTACTTTCCCTACTGTTTGGCACCAATACGACGTCGCTTCTTTTACCGCTCTCATGGCTGATAATGCTCGCTCTATTGCTATGGTAAAGACAAACGTCACATTATCTATTTACTACTAGGTTTATCATAAATTAATTATTGGTGGCTTTGTAATATTATTTTAGACTATGATTTATAATTCAATTTAATTTTCTTTTTTTATCATGTGGTATTGGTAGAAACTCTACGGATATGGAGCAAGAAGAATACTTATGTTTGGTGCACCACCAATAGGATGTGTCCCTTCGCAGAGAACCGTAGCAGGAGGACCAACAAGAGATTGTGTTGTTAGGTTTAATGATGCGTCAAAACTTTTCAACGCTAAGCTCTCTGCAAATATTGATGGCTTGTCAAGAACCTTACTAGACACGACATTAATCTATATCGACATCTACAATCCTCTTCTTGATCTCATTTTAAACCCTCATAAATATGGTAATCAATCATTCTTTTTTTTAGAAAAATGAAATAATATTGAACATGTAGTTATTTCACCGTAAAATTATACTCTAGTGTATATGTTCTTATGATTTTGTTAGGTTTTAAGGTGGCCAATTTAGGATGTTGCGGAACCGGACTAATAGAAGTGACTGCACTATGCAACAACTATACAGCTGCTGTGTGTCCCGTAAGATCGGATTATGTGTTTTGGGACAGTTTTCATCCCACTGAAACAGCTTACAAAATTATAGTTGCAAAACTTCTTGATAGATATCTCAACAGATTCTTATAATTAATTGATATATAGCACCTACATTTTGTGTTTTAACATGTTCGGCACATTCTATTTATATGATTATTTGAACTATCATTATGTTTTGTCAATTTTCTCTTTTTCAGGGCTTGTAATTGTCTCATATGATGTATTTATGGTTTAAAAACAATATTCTTGTATATTCTATATGCTAAAATATTGTTCACAGCTTCGTCACTTGTCACAGAGTACTATTTGGAACTCAAACCTATTGCAAAGATCAGATACCAAAAAAAAGAGACAAAACTATACAAAAACCTTGAATAAGAGGGAAAAGAAAAACAAATTTCTTTCGTCGAAAAAAAAATAAGGTACTCTGTGACAGGTGACGAAGTTGCGCATCCCAATTTTCTTTTGTCTACTGGAAAGAAAATATAACTAGAGATTGATAACTCGACTCGACAGGTACCTTGAGATAATTCAAGAAGTTACAGATTTAAGTGGCAGCTGGAACGGATAAATTATTAAAAGCTGATCCGAACTTTAAAGAGATGTACTGATCTTGGCCCAAAACTTCCTAATTATCCAAGAAAACAATTATCTTTGTGGTCTATGAAGCTAACGATAATTGAGCATAAGGCCCAAGTTGTCGGAAAAAAAGAAGCATAAGGCTCATGGTTGACATAAGGAATTAACCATTAGGCCCAACAAAATCTGTTAAACGCAGGGCAGAGTACTTACAATATTTTTCTTCGTCGGAAAACAAAACATGTCAAAGAAACAGAGTAGCGAAAGAAAGTGGGAAACCAGTTTGATGGGTTTAGTCAGGTATCACTTTCATTGATATCTCTCTTAAAATATAAAAATTTCACATAGCATTCTGACGAGTTTAAATATCCATTTAATTTAATTATAATGTTTCAAACCAGTTTAAATTTCAAAAGTTTACGTATGCTAATCTAGCATTTTAAAAATGTTCTACAGTTCTAGACATTAATAGTTAATTTTTCTTACATATATTTTAGAGAAAATATTCTAAAATAGCACATAAATTAGTTTTCCTTTCAAATCTGTCGCACCAAATTTAAAATTTTAAAATAGCACAAACAATCACTTGGAAAATACTTGTTTATCCTAAATAATCAAAAATAAAATCAAAATATTATATTAAGAAATATCAAAAAATAACACAAAATAGTTCTTTTTTCAAACTTAACACACCCTATAATATGTTTGGGTTTCCTATTTCCCATTTAGGGTAGTTTTTCCAAATTAGAAAAATATATTTTGAACCATTTTAATATAAATTTGTATTATTACTGGAAATTTAAACTATGATGTTAATTGTAATATTTGGAACCAAAACCTTAAAAGTGTGTTAGTTTAGACAATGGCCTTATTATTTTTTGATTTTTTAACTCTCATTTAGGGTTTATATACTAGTACTGTCCGTGCGCCGTTTTTACTGTTCCCCATTAAGAAGGGTTTTGTATTATTCTAATATCAAGTTTGTGCTATTATATGTTAACAGCCGTTATTCGTAAAGATACAGTTCGAAGCTTTTTTTATAATCATCAGTCCAAAGGTTCCAAAGAAAACAAGTTTGGTTCCAAACAAAGATACATAGAGCAACAATGGAAAGGTACAGTAGCACTGTTCCTCAGATTACTTCTTCTTCTTCGAGACTGTTTTGGTGTTTGCTCTTTCTCGTGTTGTTATTCGAGACAACCACAAACGCTTTGGTGAAACTGCCGACAAACAAAACGATTCCAGCGATAATAGTGTTTGGAGATTCGATCGTTGATGCCGGAAATAACGACGACATTACGACAACGTTGGCTAGATGCAATTATCCTCCCTATGGAATCGATTTTGACGGTGGAATACCTACCGGAAGGTTTTCCAACGGCAAAGTTCCGACTGATATTATAGGTAAATGTCACTCTGCTTTCTTTGATGTATTTGATTAAATTTTATGTTTCGATATATTCCTTGATAGATAACACGGCTAAATAATAATTCATATCGAAAAAATAAAAATAAAATTGTATGAATTTTTATTTTTATAAACACAGCATTTAATTTTTTAAGCCTCTAATAAAAAGTCATCGATGATCCAGTTTCAATTTATTGTATCGTTTATGGTACTGGATAATATCTCAGCGAGTGGTAATTTACATTATTGATTAAGATACGTGATGGATCTGATCGAGGCATAAAGAAACTCAAAAAATGGTACGATCACAATTTTTATTAGAGGCATTAACTGGCTGACTAATGTCAAAGAGAACATTTAATTCAGTGGTTGAGGTTTTCTCAATAACATGTGATCAGTCATTTCTTTTAGTTTTTTCAAACAGTAAGTGTCATTTTCTTGTGTTTGAAATCGTACATGAAAACTAAAGGCGAAACATCAAATAATTGAAGGGCAAAGAAACATAAAAGGATGAATGCTAATAAGTTGACTTTTCCTTGCTTGTCATAGCTGAAGAATTTGGGATTAAACCAAGTATACCGGCGTATCTAGATCCAAATTTGAAACCGGAAGATCTCTTAACCGGCGTAACATTTGCGTCTGGTGGTGCTGGTTACGTTCCTTTCACAACCCAATTAGCGGTATATCCAACTCCGAATCTTACCGTGTTTTAATAAAACATATATGATTATTTATAAAGCTATTTTTTTTTCATAATCTTTGTATGTAAAGGGAGGAATATCCTTGTCGCAGCAACTGAAATTATTCGAAGAGTATATCGAGAAATTGAAGGAAATTGTTGGAGAAGAGACGACTAAGTTCATTATAGAAAACAGTTTGTTCATTGTTATATGTGGTAGTAATGATATAACCAATACATACTTTGCCCTTCCTTCTGTTCAACGCCAATACGACGTCGCTTCGTTTACCACTCTTTTGGCTAACGAGGCTCGATCTTTTGCTCAAGTATGAAATAATTAATAAACTAGTTTCGTAAGAATTTATTTTAATATTTATTTCTGCGTAATTTTTGTTTTCATCTCGTAAGTCTCTTCTTTTTTCCTTTCTCAAAATTATTGTTCTCTTAATAATGATGTGGTATTTACAGAAATTACATCAATATGGAGCAAGAAGAATACAAGTATTCGGTGCACCACCACTAGGATGTGTCCCATCACAGAGAACGGTAGCAGGAGGACCAACGAGAAATTGTGTTGCTAGGTTCAATGATGCAACAAAGCTCTACAATGCTAAGCTCTTTGCAAATTTGGATTCTTTATCAAGAACTTTACGAGACAAAACATTGATCTATGTCGATATATATGATTCAGTTCTTGATATCATTATACACCCTCAACAATACGGTAAATAATTTTCTCTTTTTTTTTTTGAAAGAGTATAGTTTTATCTCTTTTTTCATTTTCTTTTTCTGGTTATTCCATAGTATTCCTAAAAACAAATTAGGTTTCAAACATTTATATTTTATCTAGAAGTTAGTAAAATTGTATGTTTGTCATGAATATGAGTATATGACAGATTTTCTGGTGGTTGATAGAGGATGTTGTGGAACCGGACTAATTGAAGTTGCTGGTCTGTGCAACAACTTCACAGCTGAAGTATGTCCAAAAAGATATGATTATGTGTTTTGGGATAGTTTCCATCCCACTGAGAAGACTTACAGGATTGTGGCCGCAAAATATTTTGAAAGTATTCTGGACAAACTTTAGTTTATGACTACATGCAAGTTAGTCTTATTTACATGCTTTTTTATGTTTATTATATATCTAATAGACGTAATATCGAAATGTTTGTCTACTAGATTATGATTATGTGTTATGGGATAGTTTCCATCCTACTGAGAAGACTTACAGGATTGTGGCCGCAAAATATTTTGAAAGTATTCTGGACAAACTTTAGTTTATGACTACATGCAAGTTAATCTTATTTACATGTTTTTTTTAATGTTTATTAATCTAATAGACGTGATATCTGTTTCTTTTTTCTTTAACTTAACTTATACTACTCTCACTGATCAGTTTGCAATTACACGAAAGGGCATGTCAGCCGCTGCTAGAGCTTTTAGCCAAATAGGCAGAACACTATCAACTTAAAGTTTATAAACTGGAAACTGAGAAGCAAACGTTGCGGCAGCATTCGCCGCCAAGTTGATCTTCTTTGTATAATAAAGAAATCCTGGATACTTGGTCGTGAACATGGATACTCGATCGTTGAAATCAGGTCTTGAGAATCTGTAAAGAAACGGACTTTGTGATATACCACAAACTTCTAGCACTCTCCAGTGCCCACCGTAACGCCTCCGCTTCTGTAACCAGGGGAGATAATAACCTAAAGAGAAAACAAAAGTAATAAATCACTCCAACGTTGTTTCATTTGTTTTTTTTTCACCTCCCTGTAATGAAACAAACTAAATGAAAAACAAGTTAGTTTGAAACCCTTATTTTATTGTTTCTTGAAATAATTAGCCATGCTTGATTGATTTATTAAAATTTAAGTTTCGGACTTTGATTATAATTTAATTGGCACACTCGATTCGTATTTTGTTGAAAGTAAAATATACGGAGATATATAATAAATTAGGAATTTGGGACCCATTTTACAAGCAATAAAATTTTCTTCAGACGGAAAATGAATGCTTTGTCGAACCGAATTCTCTGACAACAAAAAAGTTAAAAATGAATGCACGTTTTAATCAAGCGATAGCTATTTGAGTTATATATGAAGCACACGGTGGTTTGGAGAGGAGAACACGGCCAAGGAACGGTGCCAGTGATGTTGGTTGACTGTGTGTTACTGTTTGGTCGAAGGATTTTTTTTTTGTTCTGGAAAAGATTGAAAATTTGTACTACAAAGCGTTCGAAGCTTTTATTTTTTCGTACTCATCATTTCAAATGTTTCCAAAGAAACAAAATTTGTTTCGAACAAACAAGGAAAAATCGTTGACTAAGGTGATTTGTTGGCTGTTAAATATAAAGACCCGAAGAAATATCGATGATAAAGCTTGTGAGTTTCAAATGGCATGCTTAGTAATCTTCTGGTTTCAAATGAATTTAGCTTAAACGGTTGATTAATGAAGGGTAAAACTTCATGAAAATGAGTTTCTCGATAAGTAGTCTTTGTCTTG